ATTTACCTGAGGTAGATACACTCCTTGGAGAGAACAATCATGGGAGAAAGAAGGGCTGCTTATGCACAGGGAGACAGCTTAGGGGGCAGGAGTGCATGGAGGGATGGACACAGGGAAGAGTAACTATCAGGAGGAAGTGAGCAGGGAGCTGTTACACTGGGGTAAATTGTGGTCAATGGCATGACACAAAGCGTACATGAAATGCTGTATGGAAAGTGAATTTGCTTTATAAATTTTCACCCAAATCACAATAAAGAAAAAAAAAACTCATACCAAATCTCCATCTACAGTAGAATGAGTAAACTGAGGCACAGTAATACAAAAAATACATACTATAAAGCCGTAAGAATATACAAATTAAAACTAAACAATCTACATGAATGCATCTCATAAACACAATGTAGACCAAAGAAGCCAAAGAGAAGTCTATAAAAAACCCTCCTCAAACTAAGAATAAAAAGGAGCATCATTAACCAAATAAGAGATACCTAAAAACTTGAATCAATCATCATGGTCAATAATAAAACATTGAAAGACAAGCATGTCTACCATGGCTAAACCTAATCAATATATTACTACACATATGTCATTATCCAAGATGATATTATATACAAAAAAATTCAAATGAATCTATAGATTAATTATCAGATTGAATAAAAATATTTTTTAAAGTTGCTAATTATAAAATATTTATATGAAAATGAGTAAAAATTCATTATGGCAGAAAAACATAAAATGAAATTTAAATAACTCATTTATATAAAAGATATAAGGAATCTAGGATTTCATCTAACAAAAAAAGTACAAAGTTTAAGAAGAAAATTAAATTTTTTTGAGAAGATACAAAGAATATGGAAATAAACTCAGAAATGTAACAAGGCCTTGGATTAGATGACCCAATACTCTAAGAGTCATCATTTCTCCCAACATTGATCTGTAGAGTTAATATAATCCCAATCAAAATCTGAAACAGTTCTCTTTGAAACACTGTAAGATCATTATAAAATGTATACAGAAATGAAGAGCCCTTGAATATGCAAGATAATCCTGAATAGTAACAAAACTGTGGACTTCTGCTACTAGACATCAAAATTTATTATGAAGCTATAACAATTAAGACTGTAACACTAGGGGAGAAAGAGAAAGAAACAGATCAATGGAATCATACACTAAGAGACCAGAAACCAACCTACCAGTATATGAATATGGCTGCAATATCAGAAGTACTACTGCAGATAGAAGTGAAAGGGTGAGTTCTTCAATAAATTATGAAGAATTACCTATACAAGGAAAAAAATGAAACTGGACTGTATATCACATGCACCATGTCTAAAAATGTCAATTTTATGGATTAAAGAAACGAGAGGAAAATGATGTGAGAGAGAGGAACTGCAGGAAGGAATAAAAAACAATAGGAATGGTAAATATGTGGACAGAGATAAAATGACTTAGAATATATGTTCTAACACATATACTTTTTTCACTTAGAAAACATGTCCTAAACCGAACTCAACAACAAATTAAGAAACTCATATATTACAATCAACTGGGATTTACAACAGGATCACAAGTGTAGTTCAACATTGTTGTTGTTAGGTGCCGTCGAGTCATTTCTGGCTCATAGCGACCCCACACACAGTAGAACGAAACACTGCCCGATCCCGCGCCAGCTCCACGATCCCTGCTATACCACCCTACTAAGCATGAAATCCTTCTCCAGGGAATGGTCCCTTCTTACAACATGACCAAAATAGGTGAGACGAAGTCTGGCCATTTTCGCTTCCAAGGAGCACTTCGGGTGCACTTCCTCCAGGACAAACCTGTTAGCTCTTCTAGTAGTCCCTAGTACTTTCAGCATTCTTTGCCAGCACCACAACTCAAAAGCTTCAACTCTTCTTCGGTCTTCCTTATTCATTGTCCAGATCTCACATGCATACGAGGTGAGTGGAAATATCATGGCTTGTGTCAGTCATACCTTAGTCCTCAAGGAGACATCCTTCCTTCTCAGCACTCGAAACAGTTCCTTTGTGGTTGACCTTCCCAGTGCTTGTTGTTGTTGTTGTTATGTGCCATCGAGTCAAACCCGACTCATAGCGACCCCTCCTTGGGTTTCCGAGGCAGTATCACTACAGAAGTAGGATTGCCCAACCTTCCTTCCGAGGAGTG